TTATATTATATTATATAGTAGACACAAGTCTTTTTCTTCAAGTAAAATACTATAATAAAGTATTTACTCTTAATATATTTTTGTTAAAATATATTTACTCAATATTTAAAGCTATTATAATACATATACTGTATTATATTCATTAATAATACTTTTAGAACCTTTATAAGATGTATAAGAATTATCTTTACTTTATAACCTTATTAAAATTCTTACAGTTACTATATAATTTATAAATAATGTGTATCCTACTATATAAGAACTATAAAGCTATATAAGAAAATGGACTTTTCCCTGACAAGAGCCAAATTTGATACTCTAGATCTTGGACCTGTACAGGAGCTTATCTCAGGAATAGTACAGGGGCAATATTGGCAGCTTGCAACTACTAACTAGTGCCCTTTTAATTTATGATACTGGTGTGTTTATCCAAAATGTTTTCCCCCCAGTACTGTGTCCTGATTGTCTATAGTCATTACTCTGGACAGAGAGGTGTGTTGTACTAAAAACAGCTATGTGTTATTAACTTTGACCATTTTGACAGATCGAGTTTTTCTGGGTACAGTGTCTATCTCATCTATTTATTCTATAATTAGAATCCTATCCCACATTGTATAGGGACGCCCACTCACTACACCTGCCAATTCAATTTACTTTTTCGTATGTTCATTAAATCTGTCAATAAATTCCTTTAACTTAGTAGACCCAGAACCGATATACAGCCATTTTCGGAGCAATATCATTTATATTTGGTAAGCAGTGTTCCACACTTGCTCATGATACCAATTCTAATTATCACAACCAGTGGGAGAGCTAAATGCCAATCAAAACATGTGAGTAGGTATAGAGTAATTTTCGGTGACTTGACTTAAATACTTTACAGATGTAAGCACATGAGCAAAAGGCCAACATCTCCTTGATTTTGACTTATTTTCAGGTGAATTCTCAGTTTGGTCATTCAGCATCTCCAGTGTGTTACAAATTCATGATGTTGTTTACCACACTGATAAAACACATAGATTGGATCATTATAGTATCGATCGACTGTAATATATTATGCACTTGTCCTCATTCTTGTACTATTCTCTGATTGCTAAATTTCACTGATTCTGCAGATATTCTCATGATTCGAGTCCTAGCGTTGTATTCGCGCCGTATGTATGGTGCTCTTAATAATTGTCCTGTGCTAACTACGTGACAGCGAAGTTTCTTTCAACATGTCTCATGACTCTTTTTGGTTTGGAGGCAGCCGCTAAATTCGGCATATTCATTTATGGGACATGGGTACAGCACAGTAAGCAAGTTGCATCTTTGGCTTGAGGACATGATCCCACACCAGGCACAGTTGCTAGCACGGCAATAACGAGGAATATTTCAATCTGCAGTGCTAACTCAAGAAATCTTCTGTCCCTAGGCATTGTTGACTGGTATTTAATACATTGGTTTCTAGCAAGTCAGAGACTGATGTAGTGCAGGACTATTCCAATGGTATATGGATTGATCCTCATGTTGCTCGCAGTGTATAGAGCTGCGGAATTCTGGAAGATGGAAGCTGGGCTGAAAGGACTTGAGCTTGTAAAGGTTCTCATCCGCGATCAGATGATATACTTCCTCCTGTGAGTTACAGCAGTACATCAAGGTGGCAGTCACGAACTCTAACTGGCATTACTAAATAGTGCAGTATCATGCAGTGTTCTAAACATTTTGGAATTTTACGTGACTACTAACAACCTAAATCTTAGTATTCTGCTCCAACGGGTTGGAAGCCTTTCATTCCTTTCTATTCTGGGAAGTCGCCTGTTCTTCCATATGAAGGAAGCCGGGAAACTGGGGGTCAACGAGGGTACCAGCTATCGCATGAAAACCTTAAGCAACATGGAATTTGAACAACAGCTTGGAAATGAAGGTAATATTTAAGTAATATGCAGAGTTTTCATAATATAATCTAACCTGCTTTATAGGGAGCACTAGCGATGCAGTAATGCCTGAGGATGTGTAATGGGTGTAATTAAAGCAGTGCATAAACACTGATGGTACCTTGTTCATCCACACATAGTTAAGTGGTCCAATGTTTGCAACATGTATCGGGTCGGAAGTGGTAGTGTTGTAGATACATAAATCTGTATACCTTGCTCCAAGTGCATTTCAATAGAGAGTCCTGGATCACACGGTAAAGCTTTGAGCCAGTGTACTAAAAACTTCGATTTGGAAATCAGACCAAAGGATTGAAGGCCAAAATTAAGAAATGAAGAAAAAATATATAGTTGATAGACAAAGAAGGAAATGTAATGACTCTAAGGAATAACTGATGCCCTGTGTGATCCTGAGAAATAACCCGTCCAAGCTGTCACAATGAGATCTGAGAGTCCTTGGAATGATATTTTACTCAAATACTTTACAGTCCATGTGACCCTTGTTCTTGAATTTTGTTCACAATTATCCCCAGATACAATACATGAATTCAATCCCGAAGACTATCGATTACTGTAAACTCTATCTACATAATGTAAAGTCTACTACCTACAAGAAATGTCTTACGAAGGTTTCAAGAAATTAAAAATACATACAAGCGTGCAAGTTGCAAAAAGACGAGTCCGCAAAGCAGTTGTCAAGCCATGATAACAAAAAAAAAAGAAATAGCGTACGGACAGCATACAAACAGCAAGAAACGGACAGACAAAACCAGTGGCTTTTTTTCTTAATCTTGTTCTGCATCTTCCGACTCCTCTCCTTCTCCCTCTCCCAGCATATTCGCCAACGCATCGTTCCCCTCGTCCGCAGCAGCCTCGTACACAGCGAATGCAGCCTTCGTCTTGCCTTCTTTCTCCACTTTCATCTCTCCTGGCTTCTTTGCGTCTGCATCCGCAGACGTCCATCCCTTGACTCTGTCAGCGAATACTTCGGGACTGCGGTCGAGTAGGACGTTCAGGTCTTTGTCACTCAGAACGTTCGTCTTCCCCGCTTCTGTGTTCGGCACGACGTTGATCTTCTCGCCTTCGAGTTTGAGGAGAGTTGCAGCGAGGTCTGCGAGGTTTTCCTTTTCTCTGCCTGTCCCTCTCGAGACCAAGGATCCAGGAACCTTAAATTTACCTGAAGCCGAACATCAATAACTTCATCACGATTCCGAAAGAGGTAATGTTTACCTTTCGCAATGACGAGCGCCTCCAACCTGCGCTTCTCAGTCGCTCGCTGCATGATTGTTTGCTCAATTGTATGTGCTGTCACGAGGCGGAAGATAAGGACAGGCTTGGTTTGACCAATTCGGTGCGCACGATCTTGTGCTTGCATGTCCATTTGAGGATTCTGATTAAAGCATTCGTGAGCAGGAAGAATAAGTGGGATAAGCTGAGAATATTCGTACCCAATCCTGATCGTAGAAGATGACTGTGTCGGCGGCGGTCAGATTGATCCCTAAGCCGCCAGCACGTGTACTTAGGAGGAAGAGTCGAGGTGCCTCAGGATCGTCTCCACCATTCTGGAATCGGTTCATTTCGTCGCGTCGCTGCGAGGGTCCGTAACTCCCGTCGATACGACAGATGTTCCAGCCCTTGAATTCCGTAGCCCATGCCTGAAAACAATATTTTTTATAAGCGCGTACACTGTTACTGTATAAGATGCTTACCTCAATGATATCGAGCATAGTCGTAAACTGACTAAACAGAAGCACCTTGTGCCCGCGTTTAAACAGCTCCGTCAAGAGGCGATCGAGAATAAGCATCTTTCCACTTGCCCCGACGAGCTCCTCATTAATGACTTCTTCACCCGTCGCTGGGTCAACAGGCCAGTCAAACAAGAAAGGATGTGAGCACAATTTTCGGAGCTGCATCACCACATTTTGCAAGTGGAGATTGTTGACTTGCGTAACTACAAGAAAATGAGACCATGCAGTCAAAATCAGCATAGAAGCGACTTACCAGCTTTCCGATGGTGATATTGTCTACCAAGCTCGAGTGCAGTATCCTCCTTCTGCCGTACGAAAGGTCCCATCTGGTCAAACTCACCGGACTCCAGTCTCTTGAAGTAATCTTTATCACTTCCGTCGACGTCGTATGTTCGCTTCACTCCTCTCACACGGAGCTTTCGTCCCTCAGAGAGCATTCTCTCCTTTTCCTTCTCTTTGCGCTGTTTTTCTGCGTGTTTCTCTTCCTCCGTCATTTGCTGCTTGTTTTCAATCAGATATTTCCGAAGATCGCCGTTCACGACCGACTCATAGACAGACTTTTGCTTTTCGGTCAATGGAGCGTAAAGGACGTATTCTTTCTTGGGTGGAAGGTTGTACTCGACATCGGCCTTGAGTCGACGAAGCAAGAATGGCTTCAGAATAGAGTGTAGTGTCGATACGAGCTTCCCAGTTTGCTCGGAAGTTAAAGTGGTACTGAGTGTCGGAATATTGAACCTTTGCCGAATGTTAGCATCAGGTAGCGCGTGCTAATGAATTCCTCGTACCATTGCTGGAACGTTTCCAGATCCGTAAATATATCAGGTAGGACAAAATTAAGTAAAGACCAAAGCTCAGCCAAGTTATTCTATCAGAAGCGGAAATGTCAGTCGCGCCACTGCATGGGTAATAACCAACTTACATGTAGCGGCGTGCCAGTGAGAACCATCCTCCCACCGCTTGTGTACTTTTTAATCTCCTGCATTAATTTGCAGTTCATGTTCTTCAACCGGTGTCCTTCATCGACAACAATGAAAGACCAAGTGTACTTCTCGAGCACTTTACGATCCCTAATTATCATTTCGTACGTTGTGACGACCACAGGAGGCTTTTCGTCATCATCAATGTCGTCGTCAGGGCGAGGCATTAAATTGCGGCGTAGATCAGCCCGATGTTCAGGAGAGCCGTGATACATAACCACTGGGATCTATCAAATAAGTAAGCCGTGTCGTTTCATGTCCTGACTTAGAAACTACCTTTGGAGCAAATCTTGCGAATTCATCTACCCAATTATGCAATACGCTCAGTGGGCAAACAACGAGAAAGGGTGTACTTGTTCGTTCGCGAAGAAATGCACAGAAAGAAATGGTTTGGAGAGTCTAGAAAATTCAACTCAGCCCTGTGGCGTCACCAGACACTCTGCAAAAATACCTTGCCAAGACCCATCTCATCCGCTAACGTCCGATGGATTAGCACCGCCAAAAATACCATTAGCCGAGTGGTCCACGTACCAAGAATACCGGAAATCCCGTTCTCCCATAATGAAGCCATCCAAGCTACGCCTTCTAGTTGGTAATCTTTAAGTGTACCACCTGTCACAAGAGCAGGTTGTTGGAAACTCTCTTCTTCCTTGACTTCATTCTGATCGTGTTGCTTCATTTCTTCTTCCGACTCTGAGTCACTTTCTACAAGCTTCTTTCGCCTCTTCGCTGGAGGTTGCCTGCCGCCCCGACCACGTTTGGTTCCGCTTCCTCTTGCAGGTCTTCCTCTTCGAGCAGAAGCAGGTTTCTGTCGTTTTGATTTTGCCTTGACGAGTGACATTTGATGGTGAAGAATTGCCGAATATTCAGCCGATTTCGCGAGAAGAGCCTCCAGCTGCGTCCATCGCTGCTGTGCATCCTAGCGTGGCGGTGGTTTCAGAATCATCCTGTCTTAAATATTAAAACAAATTCACCATATCTTCTAGGTATTTAACCTTTTCTGGCACTTTTTCACGATCAATCTATTCATATAAATTATGAGATCTCGCATTTTAGGACACGTCAGAGCCAGCAGCCTACTTTCTCCACCTCCAAGAGCTCTTGCTCCTCCTTCGTCAAGCTGCCATCGTCTGAAAGCTCGCCAGGCGGAGGAGTTGTTGCCACTGAACTCGGACGCGTCGACTCGTAGTACTCTGTGTCAGACATGATGAGCGGGGTTGAGGAGGAGGACATTGCTGAGAACGAAGGAGGTCGTGGCGTAAATGAGAGGACAGCGGCGCGACGTGTCTCGCAAGTCCGCCCTTCGCGCTTGTGCCGGCCCTAAACATGATCAGCTTAGTCAGCAGTATCGTAAGTACTTAACACATTAACAGAAGTTCTCCAGAACAACGACTACATATGGCTTTTACCTAGTCGAATAGCTTGACCCAACTCTATTCTTCGTGTATTACAATTGTTTCTCTTGACCCGTTTAAGTTCGTCGTTCCGTAGTCCTTGTATGACGAGCACCATGACAAAAAACTGTCGCAGAGCAAAAGGCCGTTGGCCTGGAGTGCGTAGATTCGGACCGCCGCACTGTCCACAATCATGAATCATTCCACTTCAACAAGAGCGCTGAGTGTGGCCAGAAAGTGCTATGATAGCAATAAATAGCGGCTTCTACAGTTTTTCATGTTATAAGCTCGTTTTACCAGCAGTGATTCCGTACATCCTCCCACGCGCCCGAACCATCTTCGCTCAGTCAGTGAGTCCGCTCTTTGCACTGATTTATGCTTTCCTCTAACTAAACACGTTGACAGATCTCATTATCAAACGCTCTCTGTGTCCTTGGTTCTCTGTCTTCCATGAGTAACGCATTTAGGATCAACGATCTCTCACTTGAGATTCTCTGCGAGACTCTTCTTCTGTATGTTCTACGCATGTCACAGAGCGACGTACCGCATCAAGTATCTACAACATACCCGACCAAGTTTTCTAAATGCGACCCGGATCCACCTGCGGAATCTATGTTGTCGCCACAGCGCCTCTCTCAAGTCTGCAGGTTATGGCGCAATGTGGCTACATCACTTCCATCCTTATGGACAGACATCAACGTTCTCCTGCATAGAAATAACAGCAACAAACGGGATGCTTGGCTCGTAAGAGCAGCCGACACTTGGACAGAGAGATCCAAGATGTCTCCACTTCGGTTACGCGTCGCGTACCATATTCTTGACGTTCCAAAGTCGAAGTTTGACACTGCAGTGTACATTCTAACAAAATTGCTGGACCATCAAAACCGCTGGAGGGACGCTCGTTTTACCTTCATTGGGGACAACCCACAGAAGCTGCCACAACTCCGCCTTGTTGACGCGCAGATCCTGGCTTCACTCTCTGTCTTTTGGCACGGAATTTGCTAGCAGCGACAACATGCCACAAGTGCACCTCGACATTTCGTGTTCTTCGGTGAAGAGTCTACACCTCACAAGTATCCCTTGCATTAGATCCGGACAAATTTCGAGTCTACGGGAACTAACTCTATGTGGCATTCTCAAATTCTCAGGACGCAAGATCAATGTTCAACGAGCGGATCTTCTAGAAGTCTTTCGACACATGCCGCACTTGGAAGTCCTTAAAACCAACTGGCTCGACTGCAATTTATTGGGGTTAGTTGATTCACAAGCCCTCCCTATAACGTTGCACAGACTACACACCCTTGCATTCAGCAACGATAGTACTTCTGCATTCATCGTCAGCAAGCTGCTCCTGCCAGCACTGAGACGCCTGATTCTCAAACCTTTTCCCTGGGATTTCTCAGAGGGACTTTCAAATATGATTGAACTGTCCCAGTCTTCTTTGGAATACTTGGAGATTTCCAATGGATTCTATTCTGAAGACGATATCACTCCTTTTCTGCGACGCTTCACGTCAGACCTGAAAGCTCTTTGTCTGCTGTATCATGGACCCTTCTTCCTGCTCGATTTCTTAGAATTGCTGTTCATAATCGACACAGGCGGGCTTAGGGGAGCCGGGAACATCCGTTTTCCCAATCTTGAGGAGCTTTGTATCAAAGACAGTCGATCTAATATTCAATATGCTCGGATAAGAGACCCTGATCTTGAAGAAGTAGAAAAAAGAAAATTTGCGTTCTTTTGCAATATGCTTGAAGAGAGGTGCCACACGCTTAGCTTGATTGGGACTATCGAATGTCACCCTGCTCGCCATAGTGAGAGCCACTGTTTCAATATTCCGTTCGTCGACGTCAGCTTCAAACAGATTTATAGGACCTTTGCAAAGTCAATCCGATTTGATATTCGATTCGAGAAGTTGTAATTGTATTGAGGATTAACGTTCATTAGAGTAGCTGTAGGAGCTGGGTGTGTCCCTTTGTGTATAGTCTGTCAAGTATAATAGGGTCGGCATAAACGAACTCATATTTAACTAGAGTTACATCACAAAAATATACACGAGAATATATTGTATCTTTTCCTAAGATATATATATTTGCACATTGCAGTGAATATAAGATCCTTATTATTCATTATTTTTTATCTATATCTTTGAACACATATGCAGTATATATCCTACCATTTTTTTACTCTATCTGAGAAATAGACGAGCCTTGTATTGTATAAAATAGTAACATGCCTAGTCCCTAAAAAAGAAGTTATGATCTCTTCCAAACATGGGGATGACAAAGACATACTTTATCATCCCAATCCTGTGATGCCTTAAGTATACGTTTAAACATTTCCCTTGGCCAGTCTAATATTGTACATATCTACTGGCAACTCTTGTCCGACATGTACGAAGTACTAGAACACTATCATAGAGCACGTTGTCGCTGGCCTCAGTGGCCTGGAGTGCAAAATGTTAGGACCATCGCATTGGCCTGCTCGTCTCCATAATACGTGGTCCTTTCCGTGTGAGTAATAGCGTTTAATGTGGTTGGAAAGTGGCATGGTAGCTATATATCGGTTCTCGCGGCTCAACGATTGCAACTTGTCTACTAATAGTTGATTCTCTACACCTTTCTACACGCCCGGACGTTCTACTTGCAATCGGCAAGTGCGTTCTTTGCATTGGTTATGCTTGCATCTGACTAGTGGCATAGATAAATTCACTGTTAAATGGTCGATTCACCTAACACTCTGTCTTCCACGAGCAACGCGCTTACGATAAACGATCTTCCACCTGACATTCTCGACGAGATACTTCTGCATGTTCCACGGGTGTCACAGAGGGATGTGCCGCTTCAGGAGAGAGATGATCTGCTTTGGGAAGAGGATGTACCATTTCAAGAATCTATGAGGTACCTGGGCACGTTTCTTGGTGACTATCCGAGGAGTCCACCTGCGGAAACTATGCTGGCACCACTGCGCCTCGCTCAGGTTTGCAGGCTATGGCGCGACGCGGCTACAACACTTCCAGCTTTATGGACAGACGTCAACGTTCGTCTATATAGACATAACTCCGAGGAACGAGATGCGTGGTTTGTATGGGCCGTCGACACTTGGATGGAGAGATCGAAGGCTTCTCCGCTTCGGCTCTCCGTTGAGTGCGACACTCTGGACGTTTCGGAGTGGAAGTTTGATGTCGCAGTGCACATTCTAAAGAAATTACTGGACCACCAAAACCGCTGGCGCGTCGCTCATTTTGCCTTCATCGGGCACAATCCTAAGGAACTGCCACAGCTACATCTTGTTGACGCACCGATCCTCGAGTCACTCTTCGTTTGCTGGGATGGAATTGCTGTCGACTACAGCATGTCACAGGTGCATCTTGACTTTTCCTCTTCTCCGAGCCTGAGGAGTCTACACTTGACAAGTTATCCTCACATTGAACCTGGGCAACTTTCGGGTTTGAGAGAATTGAGTCTACACGGTACTCTCTCATTGTATGGGCACGGCGTACAGCGAGCGTTTCCTCTGGAAATCTTCCGACACATGCCGAACTTGGAGATCCTCAAGACACGGTCTCTCGAATGCACATTCCACGACCTGTCCGAAAATTCACAGAGCCCTCCAATTGTACTGCACGAGCTACATACCCTTGTGCTCTGTTGCGATGTTGTTTCTAGACTTATTGTCAAGAGACTGACCCTTCCGGCTCTGAGGCGGTTGATTCTCGACCATTTCCCTGGAGATAACATTGAGGAACTTTCGGTTATGCTTGGACGGTCCCAGCCACCCTTAGAATATCTGGAACTCTCTGGCAGATATTTCGATGAACGGGCATATATGCACACCCTGTTACTCTGTCCAAGCGTGAAGACTCTTTGTATATCTCGTTCCGCAATTATGTCTATTCTCTTCAAGGCATTGTTACCTCGGGAAGGAGACAACCCCACTTTGTGCCCAAATCTCGAGAAGCTTTGTATCAGGAACTGCTTTTGGAATGCGTATGGAGGAAATGATGACGATTGGAACGATGACGATGAGATAAATGTACTGTTATTATGCAATATGCTGGAGAAGAGATGCTGCAGTCTTGGCCTCCTCGGAACAGTCGAATGTTATGGGACCAATCGTTACAGTTTGTTACCTGCCCGGCATGATAGAAGCTATTGCTTCAGTGTTCCATTCATCTGCATCAGTGGTGCACGAATCTACGGACCGTTAAAGAATGCGTACCAGTTGGACGTTCGATTTAGAAATCCGTTGACTGTGAAGGTTTAGCCTGTATCAGGGCAACTAGTACAACTCTGGATTTCTCCGGAATCATACCGCATACTGGACATACTTACGAGTGTACCATACTTGGGTAGTCATCCTAATATATGAAAAGTATCTTGTGAACTAGAGAATATGTTACAGTGCATTGTGTGTAGTGATATTTTTGGTGCTTGTGTACGTAAAGTTCCAAAATAGCCAATTTACCAGTCATCAATCAACATTATTTTGGCACTAATTGAATGACCGCCCTATTAATTTATGCAATGAAGGCCTCATAGGCTGTATAGTTATACATATAAATACACATAGCTTTATGCACTGAAGTCTGGAATTTGAATTTGGGACACATACGGTGATGTTGTTATCCGTAAGAGCGAGAGTATATTGTCCTCAATGGATGCTGAACGGCAAGTGCCAAATGTTCGGCTATAGCTCGGGTTGAAATGCACAAGTTTACACTTTTCAAGAAAGAATTAGATTTCCGGATATAGTAGTCTGCTGATCGCGGCCCGCGTTCCACATCACGGCAAATCTTCCATGGTTCAACCTACCGTATGTAAAGTGATGACCGCTTGCACAGGGTCTCAGAGTGCACTGCCAACAACGCCATTCTTAGGATAAAGGTGAGATGACCCAGAGAAGATACACTTTGCATTACTAACGCCCATAGTACCCAAGGCTTTACAAACTGTAGTAGAATGTCGAAGAAGGCAACAACACCGACACTGGATGAACCCCCGCCCCTGCCTCCACCGAGTGTTCCGCCTCAAATAACAGTTGCCAAACCAACAAGACAAGACATTGTCCATATTATATTTCTTTTAGCAAACCTTACTCTGACGAGCCATGCACTCCAAACGCTGCTCAGGCCAATATTCGGAAAGACATTCGGTCCTTTGGCGTTTCACGCTGGTGTACTATTTGCATTTATCGCTTTCTCGTTTTCATTGCCGGATAATGTCAAGCAGCAACGAAATGCACTAGTAATAATGTCTATGCTGCAAACTGCCGCATCGCTGGCGGGGAGGTCGTTAGGAGCTGTTGCTGCACCGTTGTTGATTGAAGAACCGACACTTGCCTCTGGACTCGTACATGCTTTATTGAGTTTTCCGACACTTGGCGTGGGAGGCGCAGTGTGGTTGAATTGGACGGTGTGTGAACAGCTACTTTGTAGAGTTTGAATGTTACTGATTTGACGTGATGTGAGCTTAGAGAAGGTATATGGATCCGGAGCCGACAACGATGGGTCGTATGACCGTACGAGTTTTCACTTGTGTGGCTCTTACTACCATCATTAAATATGCAGAACCGCTCGTTGGTGACACACTCTTACAACATTTCAACATTCCTCCGAATGCTACAGTCAGTGCCATATTCCCTTTTATCTGGTAACACAATAATTCTGATTTTTGTTTCTGCACAGTTAGTCTGTCTTGCAATGACCACATACACACTCTCAATTATCTTTAGGCCTGACCGTTCTGTCTTCGACGTGCACCAAATTAGCAAAATCATAACGGTCCTCTCACTATATATGGTCGTACTTGCAGTTTCAGTTCCACCTTACACGCCATCCGCGCTCTCCGTGCAATATCAACGTTTCACCCCATACGGATTTATCCAAGTTGTAGATAACCATTTCACTACACCGACAACTCGGTATATTCGCCTTGATGCTTCCGTCCTTGGAGAAGTGGTATTGACGGACGATGGAAACGCGGGAGATGCAAAAGGCACGGCAAATGCATTGTTGGAAGCTATTATGCTTGTGCAGGGAACCTCTGACAAACGCGCACTTTCCATGTGAGTGACCGTTGCTTCGCTCATCCCCTTAACGAGCTTGAGCTGTCACCTTACTTGTGTTTTCACCTCTTATCTACTAGCGGGGTCCAAACTGGCGCCGTAGCCAAATCACTCATCTCGAATTCCTATAATACGACAATCGTAGACGCCAGGGAACATCTCATCGCCGCCGTCCAAAATTACTTCGGTTTGCAACTCCCGGAACCCAGTAAGGTGATCACCGAAGAGCCAGCTGTTTGGGTCCGACGTCTCGCTGGAGAGAACGCCGATGAGAAGTTCGATGTGATTGTGCATGATGTATTTGAAGGCGGCGAGTTACCCGCAAGGCTGTTCACTATGGAGCTCTGGGCTGCACTGGGAAATGTGCTGGATAAGGATGGTGTATTGGCTGTGGTGAGTTCTCATAAGAAGTTTCGATTTCGTTGCACTGCTTTCATATTATTACTATATTTGGCTGATATGAGTGATATGGCTTCTGCATTGCTTCTTTTCCCTCATGCTTCTGCAGAACTATGTGGGGAAGCGGAATTCTGTGACATTCAAGTCGACACTGAACATGCTGCGCAAGAACTTCAAGACGTGCAGAGCTTTCCGTTCAAATCCGGTTGACAAGTTGCCTTTGGCAGTACCTCATGAATTTAACGAAGTGGTGCGCCATCTGTTTCTCATCTCTGTGCACGAACCGATATTGAAGCACTGCTTTCCTATACTCGTGGCGTTTGGATCATTATTGTAGGTGATTCTCTGTACACCCGCCGAGTCGCTCTCGTTCCGCTCTGTATCAACTAGCTCGGATCACTTCTCGATGAGCACGGCGGCTGTGCTCTCTAGCCTGGATGCGCGCGAGGTGGATATCAAAGAGGCACTTGGAGAGACACCGCCAGAGCGCTTCTTGTTGAAGGAGGAGGATCCGGTTATGGGGAGATGGGGAAAGGATGGGATCAATGATTATTGGAAATGTGAGTATTCTTTTCCCACTGTGCAATAATTCCTTTCTTTGGGGATCCATGAGGAGCCTAGAATTCTGCTGACGACTTATATTTGTCCAACAGTGATGCGCCAGCGGTTTCCACCGTCTGTTTGGCAGAGTTACTGAGAAGCACGACGGTAGTTGTCTCACCGATGCTCGCTGTCGATTGGTGGACTGGTCTCGACGAAGTTATCCCTGCCTCAGACTCTTGATCATTTCTTGCAACTAATTGACCACGAATATTTTCTGAAATGGATTGAGGTGCTTTGGGAAGGATACAGTGCAGCTTGCATCAAGCAGCTTAAAGTCATTTACACACTCTCGAATATCCGACAAGCATGTGTGGAAGTATAATCAGCAATAGTCTGCTGGTTCTTTTGGGCCTGCCATACTGATGACTCTTAATGTTTCTAACATCTGGCACAGGACTAGCTCACAAATATGTTATTGAATTATTTCCATTTGCCTCATAGTCCTTTGCTGAGAGTAATGAAGAGATATCAGGATAACATCAAGGGTTTTGTCATTGTCATGCATAGTCTTTGTCTTGAAATGCTCACAAAGGCCCTGCTGCTCTCTGTATATCTACTTGCTTCAGTTTCTTCTTTGCCAAGCATGCATGCATCTGGAGCAACCTCTGATCCGAATACTGCTGATAATCAAACATTCAACTATATCATTGTCAGAGGTGGTCTCTGTGGCCTCACTGTTGCTGGTTGCCTTACAGAAGATGCTTTGAAAACAGTCCTTGTCATTGAAGCAGGGAATGATGACTGTAGAGACCCATTTAATGTATTACAATATGGTGCTGTCTTTGGCACAGATCCAGCAAGGGAGTGGAACACTGATCAGGATAGGGTTATCCTAGGGTGAGTTACGTTGCAACAGTGAACGGAAGTGCATGATAATATACCATCATTGCCATGTACAGAGGTAGGACGCTTGGTGGAGATAGTTCGATTAACGGTACAATAATCACCCGTGGCATGAAAGAGTAACATCACGAAAAAGTCTTAAGTATTATACTTGCTTGTAATCTTGTATATTTTATATATTTTATAAAATTTGTCCAATTACTTACAATCTTCCTGGGGGGTTAAGCAAGGAAAGTACAATGTTAAATAAGCAAGAAAAAATACTTTTAAAACTTGGCAATTTCCAATATAATTTTATAAATTGTCAAGTTATACAAGTGATTATAATATACTTCCTAAATTACAAGGTTCAGACATACTTATTAATTTGTGACAGTATAATATCTGCTTATAATGCTTACAAGTCATTACAAGTGTTTGAATAGCTTTCTTTTGCTTACTATACAATTTTATATCAAATAATTAATTAAACATAATTATA